CTGAGCCACAAAACCAATTTAGTTGACACTTTCCATGTTCATTCCCACCAATTACTCCATCATCATACAAGCAAAATGTGTACATCTCTGTGTGTAAGATAAATTTTTAAAGCTTTTAAATGAGGAATCCTGTTTCAACTTGTGTTGAGGTCTGTTATTCATTCATCAGTCCGGGGTTTTTTAAATTCATTTTCGGTATCTCCTCTGAATCTACGTATACAAGGTAGATGGAGCTGAAACTGTATGAATGATCCCAGCTATATGGAATACTCACAAAATTCATATTCTATATTAAACATGGCCTTCGTTATTTCTTTGTATGTCCAGTAAGCATAAAAGCTATACTTTTCAATTGTTTCCTTTCAATGCATTAATTGGATTTATTTAAAATGTATTAATTATTAAAATGGTAAATAACTATTTATCAAAGCGTAGGTATTGATAATGTCAGTAACATGAGTAACAAGCTTTGACTGAACTGGTAACTTTCTCATCACCAAATTTGCTCCGTGGTCTAGTGGTAGAGTGTCCGCCCGGAGAGCGGGAGGTTCGAGGTTCAATCCCCGGCCGCGTGATACCAAAAGACGTTAAAAGATGGTACTTGCTCTTACCCTGTCTGGCACTCGGCATTAAGGGACTAAAACAAGGACAATTCGGCTCGGAGTCAGTATACTGTGTCTAAGTTGGGTATTCATGTTAAACTGCGGCATGGTATCTCAGTGTGCTCACACTATACATCGTCATCAGTCGGGACAAGTGCACCCACGCACGCATGCTTGCATGCACATCGCTATGTAAGTGCAATAATCTTGAACGTGAGGTTCAACTCCATTTCACCTCACCTCACCTCACCTCACCTCACCTCACCTCACCTCTCTCACCTCTCACCTCTCACCTCTTTGTCAGGACCAGTACAAGTCTCTCTTCCCCTCCACCCCACCCCCTTCTGTCTGGTCTGTCTGTCCGTATTTTGTTTTTGGAGCACAATTTGAAAACAGTGAAAGATTTTTCATCAATACTTGGTACATGCATTAACACGGGGCTGATGTGGTGCCTTTTGCTATTGTTGAGGATGATTTTGTCATCCTCGGTTGTCACTTGTTATGTAACCATGTATCTATGTAAAGTCAATACTTATGTTAAAAAGGCATTGATTATAGTGGGTTTATTATTATCCGGATATAGGAATGGGTGCTGTCCGTCCGTCCGTCCGTCCGACCGACCGTCCGTCACATTTCATTTCCGGAGCAGATCTTGAAAACCATACCATATTTCTTCACCAAACTGAGCACATAGATAGATCTAGTGGTGGACTGGTGCCTTTTGATAGTTTGGGTTTTTAAGTTTTTTTATTTTTCGAGGAATATAGGAATGGGTGCTGTCCGTCCTTGTTTCCGGAGCAGATCTTGAAAACCGTACCATATTTCTTCACCAAACTTGGTACATGGATAGATCTAGTGGTGAACTGGTGCCTTTTGATAGTTTGGGATTTTAAAAAAAATTATTTTTTCGAGTTTCCATGGCAACGACTTTGATCTAGACTGAAAATGGCGGTAGTCCTCGTTTCCGGAGCAGATCTTGAAAAACGTACTATATTTCTTTACAAAAAGGCCAAGTGTACATAGTGCACAGGAGCTTATGCATTGCACACACCCGACATGTCATATTGGCGGGGGATGTGAGTATTTCATGCTTGTTGTATATAATATGGCTGCAAGCAGTGATGTAACTCTACAAATAATATTTCTGCGTATTGCTATATAGAAAACAAAAGCATTTAACCGAAATTTGTCATTGCTTCAGATTACGTACCATTCCTACCCTTGAAGATCCGGGTTAGAATAGCTCTCATTAACCCATGTAAAAGACAAATAGGCTTGTTGTAAGAGGCGACTACCTGGATTGGGTGGTCAGGATCGCTGACTTGGTTGATGCATGTCATCGTATCCCAATTGCGTAGATCAATGCTCATTATGTGAATCACTGGATTGTCTGGTTCAGACTTGATTATTTAAAGGCCGATGTCATATGGCTGGAATATTGCTGAGTGCGGCGTTAAACAACAAGTAAACAAACAAAACATACCATTCAGACATTTATGCATCTGGTCTTATAAAATTGACTTCAGGTTTGGGAAAACACACCTATGCTTATAAGATGTTAAAATGGGAACATTTGAATAGTTTCAAGCTGAGCTCCCCTTGGTTCCAGCTCAGTTTGAAACAAAATGCGTTAAAATTAGATCATATAAAAAATATTATCTCTATAACTTAGTGTGCAACAGTTTGTTGTCTTGGAAACAGAAAGAAATAACCTTTTTAAAATGCACTGGGTGAGGGAAATAATTTTGTTAACATTCTTAAATACCAAAAGGCACCAGGTTATTGCTTGACTGATATCTGTGCAAAATGTTTGGTCCAGAACCATCTTCAACTTATCCTCCAGAAACAAGGCTAACTCAGTTTAATCTGAGTCTAGTTTGTTGTCATGGAAACCAGAAATGTCCTCAATAGAAAAAAGGCAGCAGTTCATAAGCAGACTCATATGCAGGTTTTATATAACAAAACCAAGAAAAGTCTAATGTATTGAGTATGGAGAAATTTTAAGGACAGTTTGTAAGCATTTCATCTTATAGGTTCAGAGAAGTAAGGTTTTGAAGACATTTGCTGAAAGTAGGATGCACTCTGAAAATCTTGAATCCCATATTCAAGCCAAACTACAAGAAACGACTTGAAATGAGCGAATTTGATGGACATCTTTTGCTGGTATTAAATACTAAATTTGAACACTATAGGACCAACAGCTTCTGAGATATGGTGTTTTTATTAACAAACGCCAAACAGGGATTTCTTGAAAATACCAGTTGAAAGAGTTGAAACTATCGGGCCAGAAGCTTTGAGGATATATGTTGTTTTATGCCTATATTTTACTAGTCTTTAATCAAATATGGCTGATGTATGCATCTTTTTGTAGAGATCTAACTACATAGAAAGTCTTTTGTTGATGCATCACAGCCACCATGTAAAGAGCCAAAGTGAAATCCAATATGGCCGGTTCAAAGAGAACATATTTCAATGAAACTTGGCATATGCATCAGCTGAAATAGTGCCTTCTGCTATTTTGAATTTTTTTCAAAATTATTTTTTATTTATGTTTCCACAATTGTGGACTTAGTCTCAAACAACTCTATCCTTCGTTTCTGAGCCATAACTTTCAATGTAACGAATGTTTTTGAGACAACTCTGGCCTTCATTGTTGGTATTTCATTTTATATTCATTATTGTGGTTATATATCATGTCAGTTTGTTAGAAATGGCATCAGATTAATTTGTTGGCAATGGTTTATTTATTCATTTAGATTTCTCATTTCATCTCTCTCTCTCTCTCCCTCCCCCCAACCTCTCTCTCTCTCTCTCTCTCTCTCTCTCTTTCTCTCTCTCTCTCTTTCTCTCTCTCTCTCTCTCTCTCTCTCTCTCTCTCTCTCTCTCTCTCTCTCTCTCGGTTAGAATAGCTCTCAGTAACCCATGCAAAAGACAATTAGGCTTCTCGTAAGAGGCGACTAACGGGATTGGGTGGTAAGACTCGCTGACTTGGTTGATGCATGTCATCATATTCCAATTGCTTTTATTAATGCTCATGATGTCAATCACTGGATTGTCTGGTCTAGACTTAATTCTTTACAGACCACTGTCACATAGCTAGAATATTGCTGAGTGCAACATTAAACAACAAACAGACAGAGAAAAAGAAAGGCACCATCAGACAAAGCATCAAAGAAACAAAACAATGACAAACATATTTCTTTTTATTGAAACGTTTTTAACTTAGTATGATCTGCTGATGTTCTTCTCTCCAGATCGCAGTATGGACAGGGTCGACATATTAGCTTTGGTTCCAAGGGTTTCATTATGGGCCTGGTCATATTATTGTAGGCGATAAACAATAAATGTTAACACCAAATATAACACCAACTTGAGATTTTATGATGGGACAGTCACCAAAGAATGCTTTGAATTGCTGATTTTATAATACTGCTTGAAAGTTTTTCATTCATGAGAATATTGCGTTTTAGCTCACCTTTCTGCAAGTCAAGTGAGTGCATGTTCTAGGCTTTGTCAAATGTGTATTGTCTGTTGTGCAAAGTAAACATCTCTTCAGAAAGTCCAGTTTAGTCCTCAGCATTTACGCAGAAAGCTGCAGCATGTATTGATAACTAGCTTCATACCCAGGTGATCATTATCATGAAAGAATTTCTGTTTGATTATTTTAAAATGCGTTAATTTTATAAATAGTAAACAACTGGTGTATACAAAATTCTTGATCTGCTGTTTGAACCCATAGCAACAGTAGAAATTCATTAATCTCCTTCCTTGTTCTACAGCTGTGGAGATTAACTGAATGCAAATAATAAGGAAATTATCAGACAATAGATAACAAGTTATGCAATTTAATACCAAATAAGACACCATATTTTTTTATGTTTCTATAATCGTGCTGAACTGAAAATACATCTGTGCCATGCCTCAACTGATTGTTTTGGTTTGGAAAAGGTATTATTAAGCATACGTATTGCTGTATTTGGAACCTCATTATTATCGCCTGCCACAAAGTGGGGCAGAGGATATTTAAACAGAGTCTGTCCGTCTGTGGCTGTCCCTTTTAAAGGCTTTATAGGACTCTTTTATAGTTTATGTTCACTACTACGATAAGATGCGATCAGACAACAAGGTAGAGATCGATTGCAATTCATTATACAAGCGTTGTGCTTGGTTTTTAACCAATATAGCTGGTTTTGCATGTCCTCACTATCCAATAATAAGAACCTCTGATGTATGACTTTGGTTCTTTTTGGACAATTTTTTTACAGATTGGCGAAATAGTAAGAAACTGAAAACATTAAGATTATCAGATTATTTATTTCTTGTCATTTAGACCTGTTGACCATATGCTTATGTCTGTTAGTGTGAAAAAGCAGTAAGTAAAATGTCTTTGTGTTTCAGGTTTGATATCTGTTGTTGGCACCCTGGACTATGAAGAGACAAAGACTTATGACCTTACACTGCGGGCCACAGATACACAAACAGGAAGTTATTCAGAAGCTATTGTGTTTGTTAACCTTAAGGTAAATTTGATACATGTGTATTTATCAGCTGATGAATATGCAATGGATCTCTTTGAAATACAGAACATATAACATTTTGTGGGAGAAATTAATTAATCCTTTCCTTATGAAACATGGGTAGAATTGCATGTTTTCCTTTTAATCGTCTTTTGTTGATTAGCGCAACTGATCATAGACTGGATTTTTCCCTGAGCTGAAGGTAATGGTATCAGACTGGAATTGAATGATGGTGTATGATGATTCCTGGAAATGGGGGTGAATGAACTGCTTCTTTTTTGGTCTATTTTAAATCGTAAAGAGATGATGAGAAGATAACATTTCTCTTTTTGCAGGACATCAATGACAATGCACCAACATTTGAAAGCCAAGGCTATACAGAGGCTGTGAGAGAAGGGGTTGCAATTGGAACAGAGATCTTAACAGTGAAAGCAATTGACAAAGATGTTGGTCTGAACAGTTTGGTTCATTACAGTATTGCACCAATTACTATGGCCCATGAAGATGTCCTTTACTTTCACATTGACTCAGAAACAGGTGTCATTATTACAAAGAAGAAATTAGACTATGAGCGACGGACAGATTTCTACTTTTTGGCTGTAGCTATTGATTGTGGTATTCCAGCTCTGAATTCTACAGTAGTTGTTCACATTATCTTAATGGACCTAAATGATAATGCACCACATTTCAGCAGGACCTATTACGAATGCCGCATCACTGATCAAGCGAAGCGGGGTCAGCTTGTCACAAAGGTGGTGGCATATGATGATGATCAGTCAAACACTGGAACACTTTTCTATTCCATTGTCAATGGTAATGAGAAGAAAACTTTTGCAATTGATTCCAGTTGTGGATTAATCACAGTTTCAGAACAGCGAGAACCAGATTTTCAGTCAGCATACATGTTGAATGTGTCAGTAACTGATGGTGTGTATACCAGCTATGCACGAGTCACTGTGACTGTGAGGAATACAAATAAACATGTTCCAGTATTTTCTAGTGCTGAGTACTTTACAGAATATTCTGAGATCAATGGAAAAGGGATGCCTGTGTTGACGGTATCAGCGACAGATGAAGATCGAGGCACATTTGGACTCATGACCTACACAGTGCCTAGTGATAGAATGAAAGACATTTTCCATATTGATGCAGATTCAGGTTAGTAGTACAGTGTATTTGAAAACTGGCATACACACATACATTTCATTCAACTGTATGTCTTGGACCTTGAGATTACACATGAAATATGGGTTTATTTAAATAATATTTTGTGACTTTAGAAAGTAGATAAGGTAAAAGTACAAGTCGTATATAACATTATTCTTACAGTTGATAGCATTCCTGATATCACATGGCTTGACGTCATAGATAACTGTGTTTGTTCAGGCCTAGGACCTATTTGAAATATAAGAATCCTGATAGGTAGCAATGTTTGTGTAATTGGAAGCCATTGCTTTATAAGTGCAGTAATCTTGAACGCGATGTAAGCCCCATTTCACCTTCCCTAAATATCTATGTCAAACATATTTAGAATTGCAATACTGACCGCAACGTTAATTTTATACTGTTGGCTACATAACAAGTTAGTTCAACAGGACAAAGGTGCAAAATTGAAAGGAGAAATAAATAGAATTGTGAACAATCTTTTAGAATCCTCTCCTTTTCAACCACACACAATCCCTAAACATAGATAGGATGTGTATGTAGCCCAATAGGATTCAGATTAGTAAAATACCAAGAATGCTTTCATAGAGATTGTGAAAATTCACACTTTAATAATTTTCTCTCCAGATATCACATGCTAGGCTAAGAGAGATGAAACTACAATGAGAATTTTTTTTTTCATGGAATAGAATTGAATAATTACTTTTTTTTCTTAATAATAAAGCAGCCCCATTTAATTGGGGATGCTTCATGGATTTGTCTGAGTTTGACATATGCCATCTGCCACTGTTTCTGAAGCCAAACACTGCTTGGATATCTTTGGGATGTCATGTCATACATATCCATGGCATGTCATGTCATACATATCCATGGCATGTCATGTCATACATATCCATGGGATGTCATGTCATACATATCCATGGCATGTCATGTCATACATATCCATGTCATGTCATACATGTCCATGGGATGTCATGTCATACATGTCCATTGGATGGCATGTCATACGTATCCATCGGATGTCATGTCATACATATCCATGTCATGTCATACATATCCATGGGATGTCATTCATATCCATTGGATGTCATGCCATACATATCCATTGCATGTCATGTCATACATATCTATGGGATGTCATGTCATACATATCCATGGCATGTCATGTCATACATATCCATGGCATGGCATGTCATGTCATACATGTCCATGGGATGTCATGTCATACATGTCCATGGGATGTCAAGTCATACATGTCCATGGGATGTCATGTCATACATATCCATGGGATGGCATGTCATACATGTCCATGGGATGTCATGTCATGTCATACATATCCATCGGATGGCATGTCATACATATCCATGGCATGGCATGTCATGTCATACATATCCATGGCATGGCATATCATACATGTCATACATGTCCATGGGATGTCATGTCATACATATCCAATTATACATTATATTTATGTCATATCAATGTCTGCAAGGCCATTGTTTGGTAAAAAGTTGGGTTATCTGCCAAACTCAAGAAGCATTTAATGTATGTCTATGGAACATGGTACTTCTCTTCCTTTGGTCAATGACAAAATAAGAACAGGTTGCCAGTTTGACTATGATGCTTTTTTATGCTTATTCTTTGTGAGTCTTATGCATGTAGTTATGATATATTTGAATACCTCATCCTCAAGTTCATTGTAGTAAAATGAAATTTGGTACATATCCACCTTAGGGTAGGACATTGAAGTGCCAAAGTTCATTGCAGATCAAGGTCACAGGAATAGTCAATCTTTAAGGTAGTTGTGCACTGATCCATCCTCTTTGAGGATCAAGGTCAGTTAAACCAGAAGTACATAGACATTTCTTGTTATGGTAGCTTGAGGCAAAGACTTTCTTTCTAAGAGTTGACTTGCCTTTGACATGTTTTCATTTACGCGAACGTAATTTCTGGGTTTTTTTTAGGGATTGCCTTTTAGAGTATATATCACATTTTATCAATGGATTGTCCTTTGTGTATATGCCATTTATTGTCTTGGGATTGTCTCTTAAAGAGTACACTATATGACAACTGTTTTCTGTGTTAATAGGTGAGATGTTCACAAAGTTGGAACTTGACCGCGAGAAGCAAAGTTTGTATGTTGTACCAGTTGCTGCTACAGACAATGGGGGACGTATGGGATTTGCTTCAGTCCACATTACAGTTGGGGATTTCAATGATTGTATCCCTCACTTCCTTGTCACCAATTACCAGGGCAATGTGTTTTCCAATGCCACGATTGGTCAACATGTGTTGCAGGTATAGTTATGTTTATGTAATGTTACCATTGTCTGTTGCTCTTGTGTAGTAATATTTACATGCCAGACAAGTTATTTCTAGTGATCTGAACATTCATTCAATGAAAAAGAAACAAATCTGATTACAACATATTCTGGAACTTTTTAGATCTTTAGCTGACATGACTGAAAAGCCGAAAGTGAGTTTATGCTGCTGTGCATTGTCAGTCAGTTACTTTTTAATTTTTTTAAATTTTTTACTTCTATAAAACCAAGGCCTACAAAGATGAAACTTTTCATGGATGGTCACGTCTGTGGTGTTTTGACTCAGCTTTTGACTTTTGACCTTTAGATACCCAAGTTCATCAATGGCCTCATTACATCATCTCTGAAACCTCTTGGTTTTTTTTATGAAGTTTTGTGGATGTGATCTCAGCCATTTCAACATGTGTCATTATTATTAGATTTAAAATGCATAGGTGTGTCTTTTGCAGAAAAACATCTCATGATGTATTTCCATCTTTTGATTTTGACCAAGCTTCTACCTTATTAATTACGCTGCCACATGCTCTACGGTTTTGCCTAGATTTGACAACTGCCGGAGATATAGAATTTAGCTTGGACATCTTAGGTATTCACCACATATCCATTATGGGCCTGGGAAATACTTTTGTCTAATTTATATGTCATGTAAAGGTCGTCCCCATGGCCATTGCCTGAAAAGTGTTTGTTTACCACCTACCTTGAGAAGGATTTACTCTACATTGATGGAACTTTGTACATGTCTTCATTAGGGCAGGGGACCCGTGAAGATCCGGGGTAGAATAGGTCCTCAGCAACCCATGCTTGCTGTAAAAGGCAGCTTTGCTTCTTGTAAGAGGGGGGTCGGGTAGCCTAGTGGTCAAAGCTTTCGCTGGTCACGCTGAGACCTGGGTTTGATTCCCGACATGGGTACAATGTGTGAAGGTAGCCCATTTCTGGTGTCCCACGCCATGATATTGCTGGAATTTTTCTAAAACCATACTCACTCAGTTGTTGTAAGAGGCGACTAATGGGATCAGGTGGTCAGGCTCTCTGAATTTGTTGATGCATGATCAATGCTCATGATGTCAGTCACAGGATTGTCTGGTCCAGACTCGATTATATGCAGACTGCCATCATATAGCTGAAGTGAGTGAGTATGGTTTTAGAGGCACCAGAAATTGGCTTCACACAAACCCCACATGGGTACATGGGAATGTGGGGTCTTAGGCGTGACGAGCAAACGCTTTAACCATAAGCCTACCCCACCGCCCCCATATAGCTGGAATATTGCTGAGTTAAACAGTAAACAAACAAAAAAACCACTGAGATCAGAAAAGGACATGCTTCCCACATGTGAAGTTAAGTTCATACTTTAGGTTTTTTTTAAAATGATGCATGCCATTTTAAGCCAAATGCCTATTTCTGCAGATGTTTTAAAAGTCATATGTATGTAGGCGTTATATTATTTGAATGCAGATATATGACAACTGATTGCAGGCAACTTTTAATGAGTAGCATTTGCCATATTTTTGTTATTACATTAAATCCCACCTGGGGAAAAAAATTGGGTTATGTGCTGGAAAGACTTTCAACTGGGGTTCAAGGTCACATTCACTATCAAGATGAGAGATGAAACTATAATGTTTTTGAAACTATTCAGTTCTTGGATATCTGAGGGATATCATATCATACACATCGCCATTATAGCCCTGGGAAATGATTTTGAGACATTGATTTCATGTCAAGGATCAAGGCACATCCGCAAAAGGTTTTGGCAAAGATTTTAATGACCTCCATTGTTAGTAAAGGTCACTGTAGTGATAATTCTTAAGGTAGTTGTCTTCCTTTGTATACTTAACCAACCCCTGTGTATGTGTACTACTCAGAGTTTGCTAAGGATCAAGTTTTGATGGTATTAAAAATCATTCAACAAATGCATATTGAAGTATCCTGGTTGGGTAACCCCTGTGGGACCTCAATTTCATGATGAACGGACAGAGGCATGCAGTCATGGGCCTGAATGCTCAAGGTGCTTGAAAACCAGTGTTTGGATGTGTTTGGACATAATCATTGCACATCAATATCAGAGAGAACAACAACATTTGCTCCTGAGGATTGCAACAACTTAATGCACTTAGGCCTTCTCGTCAAAGACGTAGTTTGACGACCAAAGAGTTTGGCAGATGCATAGGCATGCTTGAGATGGGTCAACATGTCACGTTGCTGACGTCTTTGGTGTCAGCCAAAGTGTGATCAGGAGGGCATGCAATTTATTCCAGACATTTAGATCAGCTACCCAGCGACATGCAAGTAGTCGACAGAGTTCCACCACACAGAGGGAAGACTTTGTGACTGCCTCCACAAAGACCTGCATTAACAATTCTACTCAGAATGTACGTAATTGTCTCTGTGAGGCAGGCCTCCAGTCTCGGGAGTAATGCATTTACATCCCACTGACCCAACATTACAGGCATGTTTGGATTCGGTAGAGGATCACATCAATTGGACAGCCCAGGACTGGGCTCCAGTACTTTTCACTGATAATCAACATACTGTCTAGCTTTTGCAAATCGTCATGCCCAAGTATTGCAGACAAGGAGAAATAAAGTGAAATGGGGTTTAGCGTCACCTCCCAGATTATTGCACTTATAAGCGCAATGGGTGTGTGTGTGAGGCTGCTTGTACCAGTCAGGACTGATGCCGGTGTATAGTGCTAGCTCATTGAGATACCATGCCACAGCTTAACATAAATACCCCACTCAGACACCGTATACTGACTTCTAGCCAACCAGTTCTTGTTTTCGCCCCTTATGCCGAGCACCAGGCAGGGTAAACACAAGTACCATCTTTTAACGTCTTTGGCCGGGGATCGAACCCCTGACCTTCCACTCTTTGGTGAATGTTCTACCACTAGACCACAGAGATGGTCTAGACAAGGAGAACGGTTTCAGGATTCAAAAGTAGCTCAACATAACTGCAATGAATGGGGCTCAATCATGATTTGTTGTGGGATCAGTGGAACTGAAAGAACCGATTTCTATGTCCTACAAAGGGGCATGTTGACAGGTGAGCGCTTCAGGGATGACAGTCTGGATGTGTATGTGAAACCGTATGCTGGTGCAATCGGATCGGACTTCATCGTCATGGAAGATAACACACAACCTCATCGTACCAGGGTCATTGCTGCCTACTTAAAACAGGAGGCCATTGTTCGCATGGAGTGGCCAGCCCGGTCACCTGATCTTAACCCTTTTGAACACATGTCAATTGAGCTGCAGATCGCCCTTAAATGACGCCTTGTCCTTACAACTCTACTGAAAAGTGGAACAATCTTCCTTTGGCAGCCATGCAAACACTCATTGAGAGCATGAGATGACGGTTTCAGGCTTTGATTGCATCACATGGATCTCATACACGATACTGAGAGTATTTGGGTTTTTTTCACAATGAATTTGTTTTTCTGATTATTGGTCACATAATGAGTTGTGTCAGACCATTGGGCACACTGGAAACATATGATCGTGGGTTCAAGTTCCTGTTTTCCCTAATTATGATTCGTCAGCACCATACCCATGCATGTCTGATACCTGCATCACTTTGGGCTTTCCTCCCACATTAAGCTGACATGCCATCATATACCTGGACTACTGTTCAAAATGGTCAATCATTCACTTACTATGGTGGGATGTTTTGGGTGATGGATATGGGTCTGCTTCTTTTTTGGCAACCTTTCTAGTTAATTTCTGTAATTATATTTGGTATATGTGTTCTTACTTATCTCAAAATGCATTCAATAAGGGGCTCCATATAAATTATTAAAATTATTTTCTCTTATTTTTCATCGTAATAAGGTTGAAATATCCTTTAAATTATTTCTTCATGAAGATGAACTACAGAGCCTTGTGTCAGAATATTTGGGAATTTTGTTATTAGCAGTGGTCTACAAAACACATAATGCTTTTCAATTTTAGCTCGTTTGAAAACTTACTCAGTTTTTTGTGATAATTTAAGTTTTGAGCTTTGTTTTAACATTACAGATAAGATATTATTTGGAGTATATAAACCTTAAAACAGTATATGTATGCAATGCACATGTAAGCATGTTTAAATAAATGTTTAGATCACACACTTCTAATAGGAATTAATGTTACAGTATTGTGTTTTTTATATGAATAATACTCAACGAATGTTATAACATAATATTTGTTATTGCCATTATAGATTCAACTTAATACCTAAGTATTAAATTATTTATCTAAACTTTAGAGAAGGTTTCACTTGATCACCTGCAGGTAAAGGCGACAGATGAGGATGCAGGCGTAAATGGAAAGCTTGTCTATTCGCTTTATCCAAACAAGGAGGCTTTCAACCCATTTAATCTTGACTCAACAACTGGACTTATCTCTGTGAATGGAGATCTCTCACAATCAGGTAAACTTGATATTGTTTTGTCTTTTGGCCAGGCCAAGTTTGATAGCCGGCCTGGCCCCTTGTACATGTTAGACTAAAGCTTGGACTATGACTCTTCCAGATGTTAACTTGTGACATATGGGTGATATAAATTAGATTTAATGTCACATTGAAATGTAGGTCAAGGCCATGACTATTTGGTCTGTATGCTTTTATCTCACAGGATATCCACTTCTTCATTTTTATAATTTGTTTCTTTTGTAAAGAGATCTAGGTGACCTGAATGACAATTGAGAAGAGTGAAAGTTTAATGACAGAAAGATTAAAACAATTAGTATTACAGAAAGATTAAAACAATTAGTGTTACAAATTGGTTTTATCAAACTGTATGTTGTATGTGTCAAGGGTTATTTAATTCATGTCTCATGCCCTTTTGGAGGTGTTAGTAAAATTGCTAATATTGCCTATATACTCCTTACTCAGACGCCTGTTTCATTACTTGTCAAGTGCCCTGGTGACCAATGATTGGTAAGAACATGAAAGTGAATCCACCCACCATTTGAGATGGATGGAACCCATATTTTTTCTGGAGAGTCTGGCTGTTTTGAGGGAATATTGTTTTGACCACATTAAATTGAACTTACATTCTGTTTACAGTAGTTGGAAAATAAATACGGAATGTGTAGGTGACCATGGATGTTTAGAGTGAAACATTTTTACATACGTACCAACCATTTAGTGAGGTAGGTGAATGACACATACAGCAGCATTGTATTTGCCCAAGGATGTGATGTCATTCCGATTGGCTTCTCTGTACTGTAGAGCGAAACAGAAACAAGGCTGTGTTCTGCTGTAATAAGAAATAGCCAAGTATCGTGTACGCTGCTTGGTTAATGTACTATTACTTTTGCAGTATGGTTATGTACATGGTTGCCCAGTTTGTGCCTTTGGAACTTGCATATCATATGCAATTACAATATATTATACAATTACAGTAATATTATTCCAAAACGATCATCAACATTTTGTATATTTCCCAAGTGGGGAACATGTCTCCAACAACCTGTGCTTCTGGTGAGAGGTGACAAAATGGATTGGGTTGTCATGCTCAGTGTCTTGGTTGATTGTGTGTCATTGCACCTTGACAGTGTGAGACTTTGCTCATAATATCAATCACTGCATGTCTGGTCGAAACTTGATTATTATACTGGAACATTGCTGAGCATGGTAAGCAGCCGTTACATAGCCCTCTCGTCACTGACAATGTCTAAAAGTAAATTGTTAATAGTATCATTTAGCCATGTAAGCACAAGACATTTATTGTGTCCATCTCCATGTTCATAAAGTTGAAGGTTGAATTAATCATATTGTTTAATGTATTTGTATGTTTCAGCAAACAAGGTGTTCCAGTTCTTTGTTGGAGTTGGAAATGAGAAAGAACTGTCGATGCAGGATCGTGCTGCTGTGGACATTCTGGTGATGGGTCCAGGGGATAATCCACCAGTGTTCGAGCAGAAGGAGTATGCTTTCTTTGTCCAGGAAGATGTTGCTGTAGGATCTATTATTGCAACTATAAAGGCTACAGCTAATCAGCCTGTGACCTACAGCATTGTGCCAGAATCAATCAAGAACAACCATCTTCAAAAGTTTCATATAAGTTCAAAAGGACAAATAACAATATCAGAAGAGCTTGATCATGAGGAGACCAGCTACTATCTGCTTACAGTGAAAGTTGAGACACAAACCTCACCACCACTTGCTGCATACACAGAGGTCAGCATTCAACTGCATGATGTAAATGACAATGTCCCTATCTTTGACTCTAATCCTTATTTGGCATCTGTTATTGAAAATGCACCAGTTGAGGTCAGAATTATTCAACTTCAGGCTTATGATAAAGATCAACCAACCATGTTTACATACACATTTGGTGAGGGTATGGAAGAAATGGCCAACATATTTGCCATTGAAGCTCACACTGGTTGGTTAACTTTGATAACTACCCTGGATAGAGAAATCAAAGATGAATACAATCTCAGTGTTGTTGTTTATGACGACACTGACAGGCATAGTCACCACAGGCACAGCTCTAGCACATCAGTTCTCATAACTGTGACAGACTATAACGATAATGCTCCAGTATTCATAGAGAAACATTTGAACACAGCAGTGAATGAAGGAGCTGTCCAGGGCACTGTTTTGCGCAACATCAGTGCTATTGACAGAGACAGTGGCGAGAATGCTGAGATATCTTACTACATAACAGGAGGTGATCCCTTGGGACAGTTTCAAGTGCACAGCTCAGGAGAGCTGTTTGTCAACAAACCCCTGGACTGGGAGACTAAGTCCCACTACGAGCTGACTGTGGCTGCAACTGATGGAGGCTTTGTCACATACGTCACCATACACGTGGATATTCTGGATGACAATGATCATGCTCCAAAGTGTGAAAAGGTGAGAGTTAAAGTTCTACTGCTACAATACTATTGTAGCACTCATTGCTATATTTCCATACTACTGAGTTACACATTGTTTGAGTTTTGGGTTCTTATCACTATAGCTCAACTACTAAGGTGTGACATCCAATTATCAGTATTACATTGTATATTGTCCATCTTCTGACACAGGCTTCAGTAAGATGTCTACAAAAACAAAGCATTTCTCTAATGTAGTATTTACGTTGATAAAGTACTTCACGAGAAGTGTGTCATGGATGAAACTTAACATGAAACATTTACTATCGTGATAATCAGTTCAATCAGTTGAATATCCCAATATTGTCAACTACATGCTTACTGTATTGAAGGCAAAATGATAGACTTTGGGGTTGGTCTGTAATGATATGGGGCGGGGACACTGTGCCAGAAAGCCACTGCATATTGTCCATTTAAGTGTAAATGGACAATACTTCCGTGAAAACATACTGGGGCCAGTAGTTGTGCCGTCTGTGTGCCAAGCTGGTCCACGTTTGTCTTTCAAGATTATAACACTAGTGTCCATCATGCGCGTATTGTAACTGACTACCTCCACAGGGATAGAACTAAATACCAAAGATTTACTAGCCAAAGTAAAGATAAAATGCTCTTGTAATGTTAATACAAAGGGGATCAGCCCTCAGAAATTTGTACTAGCCCAAGGCTAGCGGGCTAATGTTAAATTCTAACCCTGCTCCATCAGCAAAACATCACCAGAATACAGTGTCCTGACTCACCCCCATTGAGCATGTCTGGGACATGAAGTAGTATAGGTAATAGGGGTTCTGGACCACTTCCACTGGAGCCAGATTTATTACCTATACTGCTACTACAGGGGGGATTTTTTATGCCAAAATGATTATGCGATTTAACGATAGTCATGAGATTAAGTTAAATTGGCTCTAGCTCACCAATACCTGGGGCCAATCATTGCTTTAGATGAGTCTAAATGGTAATAAAAATATTCTTTATTATTTTTATCGATAAAGCAATATTCAACATTTTTATTAAGTTCTTCGTTCATTTTACTAGGAGACCAGACTATATAACTACACTCTTCTTGTTAAATTGATAAGAAACAATTGATAACCGTATTTGGTTGGTTTGACATCACTGATATAATAAAAACCTTGTGGTAATTCTCTCCATTGAATAGCTTTCTCCATTATTATATATTTATGTAAGCATTTGTCTAAATGTAATCACACGATAGTAAACAATCTATTTTTAATCTCCAACCAGTTCTTTGGTTTTGGCACTGAATAATTGACGCGCTTGTTGCCTCCCCTGTTCTATGAACTTTTTTTTCTCATCTTCGCTAATACCACTGGTCTTATGAGATTTTGATCGAATAACCTGCTTCATTTCGTTGTATTTGGTGAGTTCCAACAGCACTAAACGAAACTCATCCTCGGATATCTTACAATCGGCCATTGCTGTCGAAATATGATCCTCAATGCTGTTCAACTTTGCTTCGGCGAGTATCCGAATACTATCTTGTTTTAATGCCTTCTTTTGTAACCTACGAGAAATGAATTTTATCGCTATTCCTGCCAGTCCCGAGACTCCAGCGGTTATTTCCATGCCGAGCACGATAGGCGCGGCGATTATAGTTGATAGTAAACCGATACCCGCTACACCGAGTCCCATGCCAGATACTACAAGAGCGGTGTCAACTCCGTCCAGAGCATTCACGGCTCTGCGATACTTTTTATACAATCCAAGTCTCAACTCCCTATCCTTCTCTATTCGATGTTTTATGTCGCTTATTTGATGTAATCGAAATCCATCAACAGTTTCCATCTTTTCAATTGCTTCATCGAGCGCTGGATATAAACTCATAGTGTATATTACGTTCATATAATAGTCTTTAATTGGTCTTGCTTAAATGTTTTGAGACTATACATCAATCTTATCAAATGTATATTATACGGCAAGAATATCTTAGAAAGAGAAATGCTGTCACTTTTAATAATTTGAACCCCCTCGAGGGTTGCAACGGGCGATGCTCCGATATGAATAATACTGCAACGTTGACGCTCGTGTTTCTTGAGCCATTTAATCGATAGACCTGGTAATATTTCGAAGGCATTTTCCGGTGCATCTCCGAACAAGACTTCAATAATAAGAGTAGAAATATTAGGTATTGCACTCAAGTTAACTTTAATATCTTTGAATTCAGTAATCAAATTTAAAGTAACATTTTTTAAGGCCGGATGACTATATAACATATGACCTGGGTTTTCTGGCAGGGGGGTAACTAACACACTTTTTCGTTTTGATGGGATATAAGCCGCGAGTACGATGCCACTATTTATTATCTTAGTTAAATTATGTCCCTTACCCATCATCACATAAGGTGGGGTAATGACGATATTCAGTAGCCACTCGATGTTTGCTTCGACCATAGTCCATTTATTATCGTCGTTGCGAGTAATATTGTACGAAGTGTTTTTAATGAGTCTACTAACGTCGACATGCTTAAATCTTCTAGATTACCTGTGAATGTGACTTCTTTCCGCTTGTATACATTATCGTGTAAGTGTAAAGCGTGTAACTTACCATTGTAACCGGGTTTATCAAATCCTTCTGTGTCTCCGAGATCGGAAAGCGCAATTGTATTACATTGTCTGAGTGTTCCAGGGCCTGATGCATCAACCATTATTTTTAATATGGAGTGTTACACTTAAGTATCCTATATGTACAGGTTGATGTTTTACATCTTATACAAAAATTTTGAGGTCTGAAATAATACCACGCTTTAATTTTTTATATTGTAATGGTGAGAAAGATTCTGTTCTACCGCTATTATATTTTTCATCTTTCACTGGAACACTTCTGAGCAGAGTTGAAGGACTTTCGAGTTGAATATTATTCGTCGTGCTTATTTGATCAAGATGGATGAACAACTCTTTATAGGGAACTAAATAAGGTAATTTAACTCCCTGTGTTATGTTGGGTTGTATAGATTCAGAGTCGAGTGTAAATCCAAGTTTATAAGATAATTTCTTTTCAATATGTAAACCTTTTTCTCCAGTGACTAATTTCAGCATCCCATTCGACTCATTTTGTGTGAGACTCATTCCATTAGGCTTAAAAATTTCATCATTGAGTGAGCATACGCTGTAATACCCATCAGGTATAGTAATTAATTTGTCAAATGTACGTTCGCTTATCAGTGAAAACATCCTATTACCTATCGCAGCAATTATATTGGTCCACAGCGGGTAATACGTTACATCGCATAGGACGACTTCGAGTTGTCCATCCGAGTTATCGATAGTATGAAGCAGTTCAATAGACTGACCATTTGTTATTCCCGGGAGTGTAACTGTAACATACATATTAAATATACAATGATACTATATCATAACTTAAATATGAAATCAACTTACATTACTAATCAGTCGATTATAGTAACTGCCTCTGGTGCTGAGTTTACAGTTAAATTCCAGGATATCTTTGAAAAATACAGTTTCACGGCAACTAACGATAAAATGATTGACGATTGGTTTAACCGTCCGATGCAATTTTGGCAGAATCAGTTAAACTTTGCCGTATGGTGTGCCACAACGGGATGTGGCGTATCTGTTAATGCCCCAGGATTTAAACTATATAAGTCTGTTATATTATTTCACGTGTACTATCAGATTAGACGTATACTTAAAGAAATTAGTGCTCCATTACCGCTGGATCCAGCATGGAATCACGCAAATAATCATTATAATAAGAAGGCCTTCGAACGTATTTGTAATGAATTTAATGTTTCTACGAGTAAAGATTGGCGCATTAAAGGACCTAGCCATGGTCTAGGTATTCCGTACAATGGACAAAGAACTATTAAAGATAAAAGCGATTTTTTAATTAAAGAGGGTGTGATACCTTCAGGCTTTGCTCTCTCGAGTAAACAGTTTAGAGCAGATCGTATGAACTTTGAGAGTGGCATTCCTTATATTATAACAAAGTTTGTGCATCCAAACGATTCAACAGACGCTTGGAATGAATTTCTTAATGATAAAACGGAAAATAATTTTACTAACCCAGGATTTGAAAGAGTTAATGAATCGATAAGAACTTATGTATGGGCAATTCTCGGAGCGCAATTGCAAACACGAATGTCCATTACCGGTACTGGGACGGCGTTCGATGCGCAAAAACAGTTTGTCGCAAACGTGGAGGACGCCATTAATTCACCAGTTGACATACCATCGTCTATAAAGCGTTTTCAAGATGCATTACAGTACCCTCAATCCAAAGTGGACTACGTTTATGCGCCGGGACTATACATGTCTCCGAGTAATATGGAACTTAAGATCGGTCAAGTGATAGGCTATAATAATAAAATTGTTATCGCTACCGATCAACAAAAACCAGGTATAAATTCAGATATTAACATCGAATTAATAACGCAAACAATCACGGGCGAAAAGGGAATAGTCAAGCCACAAACACCAACTATCACTAAAACATCTACTAATGCACAACCACAAGTGTCACCGCATATTGCGGCTAAAAATCAACAACATATCGATGAAAAAACAGCGCTTGTAGTGGGTGGAGTTGCGGCTGGTTTACTCATGATTTGGTTAAATAGTTCTTAGCGAACTGATTTGGTTAAATAGTTCTTAGCGAATACATACAACAGCCCTGCAATTGCTACGATCAGCCCCCACAAGTATTGACTAAGCCAAGTGGTGGTCTTAGCTAATAAATTCAATAGCCAGGAAACAACACTCCCTATTATACCGGGAAGTGCAGCCGCGGCTTTCTCAGCGAGGTTTGCCAAGTGCTGAACCTAATGCTTTTAAATGCTTTTTTATCCACGCTTTTATCCCGTTTTTATCGTTAGGCGGTGTACCACCACCTGTACTGCCACCTGTTAACGAGAGAGTCAAAGTCGATATAATAAATCCCAACGCGGTTAAAATACTGGCAATTGTTATTCCCTGTTCTCTGAACAATGTTTTAATTTTATCGGCC